TTGCCTCATCTATAAAATGAAGATGATGATGCTTCCACTAACTATTCTACAGGATTGTGGTAAGGAATGAATCTTCTATGTCCTTTAGAGAGTCAAGAGACTTAGATTCTTGTCCTGGCTGCCGCTAAATCGCCGTGAGACACTGGGCAACACATTTGCTCTCTACAAGAGCCCTCTTTTTCCTCATATTTAGAATGAGATGATTAAGATCTTGACAGGAACTTTGAAGCATAAAACACTGGAAAAGATAATCTCCTATGGAAATACTTTTAGGTAAGCTCAAATAACCTTTCCATAGATTCACCTGACCTCAAAAGAAACTCACTCACCTCTCTGACCAAAAATATGAATTCTGCATGATATATCTACACAATTTCAATATTCTCTCAAAAATCACTCACGGAAAAAACAAAAAGTGAATTCAATCTCTATGACTTCTTCCCTTTGACCAATATTATTCGAAAGTTCTAGAACTATTAGGGATAGCAATAAGATAAGAGAAAAAAACCAAAGGCATAAAGAGAGGCAAAAGAGAAGACAAAACTGTTACTATTCACTGCTGACATGATGGTTTACTTAGAAAACTCCTGAGAATCAGCAAAGAAAACACTGATACAATTAATAGTTTTGAATCCTGTAGCAGTAAAAAAAATAAAAATAAAACCACAAAATCAATGGCATTTCTATATGGCAATAACAAAATCCAAGAAGAAATAAGAGAAAGAGAAGTTCCATTCAAAATAACTACAACATTCATAGAATATCTGTGAGTCAATTTACCAGGGTATGTTCAAGACTTGTATAGACACATATACAAACCACTCTTTAAAGAAATCAAGAATGATAAATAATTGGTGGGACGTACAGTGATCATGGCTAAACTACACCAACACAAACGATGATAATACCTTAAATTAAATTACTGAGTTAGTGCTATACAAACCAAAGTACAATGACATAATTCAGAGAGCTAGGTAAAATAATAAAATTAGCTTGGAGAAACAAAAAGTCTAGAATCTCAAAGAAAATAGGGTGGAAAAGTAGGAATTAAGAGGGAATAGCATTTCCAGACCTTAAATTATACTATCAGGCAGTAATCTTCAAAGCTATTTGGAACAGTTTAAAAAATAGAAGAGTACATTAGTGAAACAAACTAGCTAAGAAAAAATCAGAAACAACTCAACTTAATGACACAATGTTCAATTAGACTGATAACAGCACATGATATAGATACAGAGGTATATTATTAAAAAATAAGAGGAGGAAGAAATCATCTGTCAGATTTATGGACAGAAAAAGAGTTCATGGCCAAACAAGAGATAGAGAGGTTTACAGGAGGTAAAATGAACAATTTTGATGAAATAAAATTTAAAATTTTTTGCATAAACAAAACCAATGCAGCTAAAATTATAAGAAAACTAGGAAATTGGGGGGGGAGAATCTTTGCAGCAAGTTTCTCTTGATAAAAGTTGAATTTCTAAGATACATAGGGGACTGATTCAAATTTATTAGAATAAGCGCCATTCCCCCAATTGATAACTGATCAAATGATATGAATTGGCAATTCTCAGAGTAGGAAAATTAAAACAAGTCTGAGGTGCCACCTCATATCCATCAGACTGGCAAAATTGAAAAAAAAATAGAAAATGACAAATGCTGGGGAAGAGACTGTAGGAAAACACGTATATTAATGCTTTGTTGGTGAAGCTGTGAACTGGCCCAGTCATTCTAGTGGAAATAGACCCAAATAGCTATTACATTCTGCATACCCTTTGACCCAGTGAGACCCCTTCCAGATTTGTATTACAAAGAGATCAAAGAAACAGGAAAAGGACCTACATATGAGAAAATATTCATGGCAGCTCTTTTCATGGTGGCAAAGGACTGAAAACTAAAGGTGTATCCATCAATTTGAAAATGGCTAAACAAGTTATACTATAAGAATATGATGAAATTACTTTTGTCATGTAAGAAATGATAAAGGGGATAGTTTCAGAGAAACCAGAGACTTGCATGAACTGATGCAGAGTGAAGTATGCAGAATAAGAGCAATTTATATGTTAATAATAATATTGTAAAGACAAAAAACTTTGAAAGACTTAGGAACAAGAAGCAGTCATAATTCCAGAGGACTCATGATGAAACATGCTATTTATCTCTAGATAGAAAAGTAATGGATTCAGAGTGCAGACTGAGATAGAGATATAGACACATACACACACACATATCTACATATACATATATACATACACACATACATATATACATATATATGGGGTGGGTGTGTATGTGTATGTATGTATATATGTGTGTTTGTGTGTATGCATATATGTACGTATACACACGTATTTATATAGGTATGATAGGTATGGATGTGTGTATATACATAAACACATGTGTATATATATTATATATATAGATATACATACATGTATATCTATATCTAGATATATAGGACATGGTCAATGCAGGAATTTGTGTTGCTTGACCATACATGTTTGTAACAGATTTGCTTTCTTGTTTTCTCAATGAGAGGAGAAAGGAGGTAGAGAATTTGAAGCTCAAAATAAGTTTTTTTTAAAAAATTCCTTGGAGAACTCCCTATTTGACAAAAACTGTTAGGAAAATTGAAAATCAGTCTTGCAAAAATTAAGTTTAGACAAATATTTTACATTCTATGCCATAATAAATTCAAAATAGATACATGACCTGAATAGTAAAGGTCACACCACAAAAAAATTGGTAGGTAACAAGATGAGTTACTTTTCCTAGTTATGACTAGGGGAGAGTTCTCAACCAAATGAAACAGAGGTGATCACAACAGATAAAATAAATAAGTTTGATTACATGAAATTAAAAAGATTTCACACTAGCAAAAATTAATGCAATTAGGATAAGAAAGGAAGCTGTCAGTTGGGGGAAAAATCTTTTCTCTAGATATCTTCAATAGGCATCTGATATCCAAGCTCCATACAGAACTAACAAACATTAAAGACTAAAAGCCAACCTCCAATAGATCCAGGGGGGAGACCTCAGAGACCATCTAGACCAGCCCTTCATTTTACAGATGAGGAAACTGAGGCCCAGGGAAGTTAAGTGGTTGTCTCAAGGGTGTACAGGTAGTAATGACCAGATAAGTGGTCAAAGAATACAGACACAGTTTCCAAAAGAAAAATTATTAACTTACCAATGGGTTTGAGGCTCATATTCTCAGCAATACAAAGATCCAAGACAATTCCAAAGGATTTATGATGAAAAATAATGACCACCTCCAGAGAAAGAACTGATAGAGTCTGAATGCAAATAGAAGCATACTTTTAAAAAAATTTTTGTGGGTTTTTTTTTTTTCACAGAATGACTAATATGGAAATGATTTGGATGACTGCACACGTGTAACCTATATCAAATTGCTTGCCATCTCAGGGAGCGGGGAGAAGAGGGAAGGAGAGAGAGAATTTGGAACTCAAAATTTTAAAAACGAATGTAAAAATTGTCTTTACATGTAATTGGGAAAAAGTACACTGTATAAAAAAGAAAGGATACCCTCCCAACCTTTGCAGAGGTGTGGGAATCTGCACGTGGATCATTGTATAGATTAGCAGATTTAGTCGACACATTGACTAATTTTACTGAATTGGTTTTCAGTTCTTTGCCATCATGAAGAGTTGCGAAAAATGTTTTCATACATGTAGGTCCTTTTCCTCTTTCTTTGATCTCTTTGTCACAAAGCATAGGGATAGAGGAGGCAAAGAACAGGCAGAAAGGTGACATGAAAAGTGTAAAGGTCTGTCTCTGGAGTCAGAGGACCTGCATTTATCTCCCACCCATGACCCTAAGTACTTATGGGATCCTGGGCAAGTTGGCCAATCAACTTGGGCTTCAGTTTCTTCATCCATATGTCCTGAGGTCCTTTCCAGTTCTAGACCCATGATCCTATAATCTAATACAAATATATATAAACATCCTTAAGACTTCACATAGCCACTCAATAAAATGTAAAAAAACACTTTGACCCCAAAACTTGACTTTGCCAATGGTTCATTGGCCCTATTCCAATAGCTCATTGGGCTCTGGAAGGCTCTACCAGCAGATCACACAGCCAGTACCATGTTAAGCAAGAAAGGTTACTTGTACCAAGCCAGGTGATGGACTTTTAGATAAGAATCAGTCTAGGTAAAAATAAACCACTCCAGATGGCCACCATCTAAGGCAGGGAGGGGCCACTGTCCATGTTGCAGGAAGGACCAAGCAACCACACCCATGAATTCATGGATCTTTAGGGGCTTAAATGAAATAATGTATGGAAAGGGCTTTTAAAGGCATTCTTCCTATCAGTTATTTTGCTAGTAGTCCCTTACCATAAACATAACCTCAGTGTTACCAGCGACCACCTGTGGCTTCCTAGGTAAATCCCAGGGTGATACAGCTAAGTATCAGAGGCAAGATTTTGAACCCAAGTCTTCCCAACTCCAAGCAGCATAACCACTGTGCTACACTTCTAAGCACCTGACATAACTATTGGACTGTGGCAAGAATCTTTCCCTAGAAGGGCACAACCTTTGCTGCCTTGGGGCAAGTCCCTCGGTAGGATGGCACAACCCACCCCTACTTTTCACTAAGGATTCCTCAGACTCATTGCCTGTGGGAGTCCTCAGCATGTGTGAAAGGCAGCACTCACTATGGAAGTGCTCCGTCTCATTTTCCTCTCTCTACCCTGAGGGGTCACAGGACTCTAGTCTAGAACCAGAAGAGGCCTCAGACTATTAAGTCCAATCCCCTTCATTGTACAGATGAAGAAACTGAGTCCCAGGGTGGCTTAGGTTTCGCCCAAGGCTGCAGAAGTTAATGTGCCCAAGGAGGGATTTGAACCTTGAACGCAGCTGCTCTGACTCCAAAGCCCACATTCCTTAATCTCTACAACATAAACAACCTTTTCAGGTTGATTGACAATTCCCCCCCCCCCCCCCCCCCGGCAACCAAGATTACTCGTATAAGACAGATTTCTTTTGTAATAAAATAGGATTTATTTTTGCATTTAAAATCAATCAAATATTTTTAAAAAAACCACAAAGATTTTATAAACTAATTTGGCTTCAAATGATCAGCACATTTTTTTATCTAATAGAAACTAAGTTATTTACCTATCCACAGAGGTCCATTGTGTCCTCTAGCATCAATGGAGCACCAGTCCCCACCAGTAAACCTTTCATCAGGTGTGTTTTCAGTTATTGGTAACTTTCCACACAGACATATAAATTCACAGTGGACAACTACTGCTCACAGCTTAATTCTTTAAACTTGTTTACAGTAACCCACTTCTACTGTTTGGAGCAAGTCTCAAGAATAGTAGAAGCGCTTTGTGACTTCACAGTTTCCTACATCCAAGGGAACCTGGCTTGAGGCCACGGCTCAGTGAAGGCTCCGTGGCCCCTACGAATCACAGTCAGGCCACAGGAGACCAAAGGGCTCTTGAAACAGGAAGAGGCCTCAAACCCGCGTCAGTGTTGAAACGAGAGGCTACAGAGATCGCTGGGGTACGGTAAGAAACAAGTCTCTTCCTCGTCAGGTCAGGACATCGGTCAGCCATGTAAGTGACGTCCGAGAGTAATATTGCAGATGGACCCTCATGTCAAGGAGAGACACTGCAGAGATATACAGACAGATACACTAGAACCCAGGCCAGGATCAATCTACAAAGAGACACACATGGCCTGGCAGGGAGAAGAGGTTTAAATATCAAGAAAAAAGATGACCCCTGCCAGCTGTACTGTTGGTGGACCTCAATACAATACCATAAAAAATTAGAGGATGTCAGAGAAGAGGAAGGGAAATTAAGAGGTCATGTGTGTGTGTGGCACATAAAAAAACTGCGGCCCAGAGAGGAAGTGACATCCTCAAGGTCACACACTAAGACAAAACCCAGCTTTCACAGATTCCCAGATCAGTGCTTTTTGGATCATACCACCCTCTCTCCCCTTGAAAAGAGAAAGCATTTCTATTTAGTGCAACAAATTAATTGGATCTTCCAATTTTGAGGGGGGGAAAATGATTACCACCTTTTGCCAATAATACTACTGAATTCTGACCCATAATCTCGTTGGGTCAGATAAATACCCTCTCTTTGTGCCAGTTATGACAGACGAGCACCCCGAGATTCCATGTAGCCCAGCCCACTTCCCTAACAGTGGCTAGCCATACCAAAACAAGGCTGGATGTACTCAACTCTGCCTGGCCAGAAGCAAGAGAGAGGCCCTGAAGGCTCTTAGGAGGAAGTGAGCATCGTGTTGGGCTCAGAATCTAAGAGGAAGCCCTGGTGAGTTGGATGGGAAAGAGACCAAGAGACAGAGGCTCAAAACAGATCTTTGCACAAACAGGAACGAAATGGTGATGTAAGAAAAAAAAATCAGATGCTGCCACAAATTCAGTTATCCCCGGACACAATACATTCAACTAGGAATCCCCTAAAGCGTGCAGTCTTTTGTAGGGAGAAAGCAGGAAGGGGGGAGGGGTGGGGGAAGAGAACAAACATGCTCGAGTAACCAAAAGTCATCCGAGGCTGGGGCTAGCTCAGCTGGCCACAGTCTGTGATAATGATCTTCTTAGACGTCTTCCCACTCCTGGAACCATAGGATTCTATCTTCTTCACCACGTCCATCCCTTCCTTGACATGGCCGAACACGACGTGCTTCCCATCCAGCCTGTGGGAAAGGGTAGACAGCACAGCTGACGAACGGGGGAGCCTGTTTCATGATGGAATCACAGGCAGAGTCCTGACCACTGGTTAAGAATGGCTGCCTCTCTGTCCATCGGGTGACTGATGTTGGAGTGTCCTACACCCCAGGCATACAAGCATCCCTCCTGCCTAGTTCTTACGCCCACCTCATAGACAATTCTACCTGAGTGTCTGTCTCACCAATGCCTGAGCCCCAATGTGACTGAGATGTCACTCCCGAACTAATTCTGTATCAATTCACTTCTCTGGGCTTCAGGCACCTCATCTGTAAAGTGACAGGGTTGGGGTCTGAAGTTCCTTTCTCCTATCCTGCCTTTATTAGCATGACAAGCAGCCAAAAGCCTCCCACCCGGAATACTGTTCTCACCAGTCTGTCTTTGCTGTGCAGATGAAGAATTGGGATCCATTGGTATTGGGACCTGCATTTGCCATGGACAGGACACCTGTAATAAGAACAAAGGGTGAAACTGGGATATCCTGGTAAGGCCTCTGGCAAATGTGGCAGGGTCTCTCAGAGCTTAAAGAAGAGCCCACTAAAGTCAGTGATCCATAAAAACTGGGTAAATCCCACCTGCCACCCATATTCCCAACAGATAAGGTGAAGAGAGGGGATCCAACTGGTCTTTCTATCTTACAGATGTGAAGACCGAGGACAAAGTAAACAGCACTCCTGGGGTCCAGTATCAAGGCCAAGGCTAAAACTCATGTGGCAGGAACCCAGACCAGAGTCAAGGTCGACTAAATGGCTGCAGGAAGGACCTTCCAGACTTTATAAGATTAGACTTTAGGACATGGAAGAAAAGCAAATCCCACGGTTTAGCTAAGTGGTTTTTCCAAGCTGCTTCCAGAAGTATTTTTTAAGGGAGAGCACATGACTACAAAATGCCGAACGACAAGCAGAAAACTGGGACCAACAAAACACATAAACACGATCGTGGGCGAGAAACATAATCAGCCACGTCTCAGGAGGGAGGCAAGTGAAACAACTGTAACCACGGGCTGGGGGTGGCCAAGGAGATCGGGAAAGGAGAAACCACACTGGAGAGAGAAGCCCCATCATGACAGCTTGCCAGCTCCCACCTTATGGGGACCAGAAACCTCCCACCACACAAAACCTCTTTGGGGTGAAGAGGTCAAAGAAAAAAAGGGGGAAAAGACTGACCAGGCCCAACGTGCTTCATGACAAAGTTCTCATCTGGAAACCGGCTTCCGTAGATGGATTTCCCACCTGTGCCATTGTGATTGGTGAAGTCACCAGCCTGGAGAATAAATGTCAGATTATCAGGAACTGGCTCAGCGAGGGACCAAGCAGGGGAGCTGAGCTGCTCGAGACAGAGAGGGTGGCTTAGCCCTCTCCCAAAGTGCCCCCAAATGGGATGCCAAATGACAAAGCGTCCCAACAAACGCAATGAAAGGGAACAAAGACAAGTCAAAGCTTGAATCGCTCCCTGTGAAGCGAAAAGCCTGGATCCTCAGAGACTCTTTAGACCATAGGACCCGAACTCTGCAACCCAAACGGACTTCAGAGGCTCCCTACATCTAGTCCAACTGCCTCACTGCAAGATAAGGAAACTGAGACCTGGAAAGGGTAAGGAGGGACAAAACAAGAGGAGGTCACTATGTGAAAACTGTTTCCAAAGGAATCCTATCCTTTAAAAATCCTTCACCCTATTACTGGATTATCTGTGCTGACTAACCTTCCCCAAAGCACTTATCTGCTTATCACAAAAAACAACCAGAAGAGACCCCCAACTTCCCAACATTTGGTTCAGTCCATGCGCACTATCTTCCCTTCACAGGGACACCGTGGTTTCCTGTCTCACCCGCTCTGGAGCACCAGGGCTAGCTGCCAGGGACACGTCATTGCTAAGAATGCCAGCCTTGCATCACCCAGAAATTTGTACCATGCCCCACATCATCACATCACAGTATGTATTCCTGCCCTCCGACCCTGGAGTGGACCAGAGTGCTATGTGTCAACAAATACAAAAGGAGAGACAGAGAGAGAGAGAGAGAGAGAGAGACAGAGAGAGAAAGAGAGAGAGAGAAGGAGACAGACAGACAGACAGACAGACAGACAGACAGACTTCATAGAACTTCAACTGCCCTCTCTAAATCAGCCCACAGGCTCCCCACAAATTTCTTAAGAGAGGAAACCCTTAATGTACGGATTCTAAACTCTGGGGTGTGTGAACTTAAATTTTTTTTTTACAATTACGTTTCAATGATTGGCTTCCTTTCCTCTGTAATCAGATGGATTTTATTTTATGCTCTTAAAAACTTTCTTCAGAGAAGGGGTTAAAAGGCTTTGGCAGACACTGCCAAAGGGATCCATGACCCAAAAGAGACTGAGAACCTGTGCCCTAAGTGGGTTGGTCCTGGGGCAGGTTAGTCAGCAAACTCCTGGGCCCGGGGCGTGCCACAGAACGCTGACGAAGTATCACAAGCAGAGGCATGCAGGGTCAGCCACAAGCTGATGAAGATTAGCCTGCAACTCATCTTTCCTCCACGGGGGCTAAGTGGGGCTGAGCTACCCAGAGCCACCCTGGAGGCCTGTGCCCAACTCCAACCCAGTGAACGTGAGTGAAACGGGCAGCTTCCAAGTGCCTCCACCCCACAAGTCACGGCTCAGTCAGAGGACATGTGGCAGCCACCAGGGTGGGCCACGTCCTGAGGCCTGATGAGGTGCCCCAGCTCACTCATTACACCTCTCCTTCAACTTGCCCTCAAGCACCATTCCTGAACTCATGTGCTAAAGAATCCTTTGTGGAGCTTGAAACAAAAGTGGAAACCTTAAATCGGGGAGCGGGGGGAGACATCAGACATCCTTGGGATAAAGATGTTTTGGGGAAACTCTGAAGCAAAATAGAAGGAATTAATACTACTTCATGCTGAAAAGCTGCCCCACGTAATAAAAAAAAAATTAATAAAATAGGAGACCACATGTTAGCAAAATAGCAAATGGCACCACTTGGCCCGCAGCTCTCTCATGCCAACTCCTCCCCCAGGGCAGAGAAAGCCAGGGCACCATGGATCAGTTCTGGAGAAGCAGAAAGGGATGACAGGGAAGGAAGACTGACTGCTTCCCTCCCACATAGTCTGTCAATGGCACACAAAAGCCAGGAGCCTCAACTGGGCTTTCCCACATGGATCTAGGTAGGAAGGGTGGGGATGGGGACGGGGACAGGGGGGTTGGGGGAGGGTAGTTTAAGAGGGAGGTAGAGTAAAAGGAGAAGAGAAAATGAAACCCACCTCCACTGGCTCCTCCAAACTCTCCCAGCACCACTTAGGGCCTCTCCTATACACTCACCACATTCTAGTTTGTACATAGCTATCCGTGTTCCTGGCCACCCCTAATAGATGGCTTAAACCTTTAGTAAGAGACACAGCTCAGGTGCCACTTCCTCCACCCTCTCAGTTAAGGATCTTTCCCTCTGGAAATTATATTGTATTCTTTTCTTTCCTTTTTTTTCCCCCCAAGGCAATCGAGGTTAAGTGACTTGCCCAGGGTCACACAGCTAGTTAAGTGTCAAGTGTCTGAGGCTGAATTTGAACTCAGGTCCTCCAGACTCCGGGGCTGGTGCTCTATCCATTGTGCCAACTAGCGGTCCCTTATTTTCAATATACTTTGTATCTACTCATCTGTGTAACTGTTGTATGCCTTCCACCCACAGTATATATAAGTTTGTGGAGGGCAGGGGTTGTTTCCATTTTATCTTTGCATCTCTCAATGCCTTTCATTCAGCAGACCCTTAAAAAATGTTTGCTGAATTAAGGATTGTCAAATTTCTCGCCTAAGTCAAAGTCAAAGACCTGTCCTCTGCTAAGGACTCAGAAGGGACCCCTCATTCACTCTCCAGTGTCCACTGGCCCCAAGCCTGGAGTAGCTATTCCAGCGGAGAGAATTCTTTGTCCTCCTTCCCTCACCATTAGCTAACACCATATTACATCTCCCTGGAATCCCTTACAACACAGCCTAACCCTGTACTTCCTCACGTTCTCTCTTGATCTAATTCTCAGACATTTAAAAAGTGTCACCTCCCCCGTCACCAATTCATTTAGCAACAGTGACAGCTGCCTGACCAGATTCCTAGATCACAATGGGAAGAGAATGTCAAAGCTTACCTGACACATGAATGAAGGAATAACTCTATGGAAGGTTGATCCTTTGTACCCGAAGCCCTTCTCACCCGTGCAGAGGGCTCTGAAATTCTCTGAGGACCCAAAGAAAAGAAAGAATCTGAATTACTTCATTTTCTCCCCAATGTCCCTTCTAACCTGGTGGTTCATAGAGATCATGGGGTCCACCACGCTGCCAAAGGCATCCAGGACACTCCAAAAGTTGAATAAGAAGCCCTTGGCTATAGGAAGTAACACAGGTCATCACCCAGCTGCTGCTACCATTTTATTCAAGGTTATACTGGGTCTACTTTGCCTCGTGTATGGGCCTCTTTGTGTAAGTGTCTCCCCTGTTAGAATGTAAGCTCCCTGAGGGCAGGGATAATTTTGGTTTTTGTCTTTGTATATCTAGTACTTAGCACAGTGCCTGGTACACAATCAGCACTGAATACATGCTTAATGTGTGTTGATCATACCGGTGCACTCTTCAAACCTGAGCAGGGAAAGTGGTGTATACTACAGAGGTACAGAACACCAGCCTTGGGTCCCATTTCTGCCTAAAGCTAGCCAAGCGCCATCCCCTCTCAGGGCCTCAGAGTCGGGCACTAGATGATCTCTAAGATTCCCTTCTAATTCTATTATTTCAAGATGAATGCTGGGAAGCTAGCCCTCTGAGGAAAAAATCCAGATTCACAAGGCACAGGCATTTTCCTTTGACTAGAGCTTAAATAAAGAGGTAACAGAATAGAATTAACACGGCTCCAAATGCTCAAGTCCAATACTTCACCTTCCCTTTCTCAGAGGATTGCCCAGCCCCATGGGACTGAATTAATCAACAACCATCTATTGAGTGACTACTATATACCAGGTCCCGTGCTAGATGCTAGCACACAAAGACAAAAAGAAGCAAGTCCCTGAACTCAAGCAGCTTCCATTCTATTAGGGAAGAAGAGCAGTTTTTAAGAGATGAATTCCAAAGGAGAGAATCTTGCCCCCAAAGCAGATAATTTTGTTGGCAAATCAGGCACTCAGTCAATGAGGTGTGCCCCCCCCGCCCCCGATTTCATGAGGAAAGACATTTCCCACATCCAAATCCCAATCATCCCCCTTACACACAGGAGGCAAAGAAAGCACTGCCCATTGACCACGTCCTGCTCCAATTCTTCTCACGCTCAAAGGCTGCTGGCAGCTGAGGAGGGCTGAGGGAGGGGGTGTGGAGGAGTGTTAAGGCCCCCAAAAGAGCTCAAAAGGAAGACTTCCGACTTCCATGTCTCGGGAAGGCCTACAGCAAATAAACTATTCTAAAGTCCCTTCACATATATTATCTCATTTAGAGCACAGAGGAGGGATATCAAAACTGTAAAAGATTTAGAAGAGATCACAGAAATCACAGAACAGAACGCTGAAAGGGGTCTCAACAGACCGTCCAGTTCAGGGACTTTTAACCTAGGGTCTATGAACATGTTTTGTTTTGTTTTTTACTATTTTGATAACTGGATTTTAACATAATCGGTTTCTTTTGTAATCCTTTGGATTTTAGTTTATGCATTTAGAAATATTATTCTAGGAAGGGCCTCACAGGCTTCACCAGACACTGTCAAAGGGGTCCGTATCCCACAAAAGGGGAAGAGGCCCTGGTCTAGTCCACGACCCTCATTTTAAAGACCTAGCCTATTCTGCTCATGATAGACAAAAGAAGGGTTACATGACAATTTCTGGACTCCCAGTTAGTTTTCTTCCCAGAGGACCGTGCTTCCTGCCCAGCTTACAGCGATGGACCCCAGACCCCGTGAAGGCTCAACAGAGATGGTTTATCTTTACTCTGAAGGATGCACAGGGCCCTGGCCCTGAGCGTTCACCGCACTCACCTGCAGTCTTTGGCACCACATCTGCTTTGAGCTACAGAGAAGCGAAGAGGGGGGAAAAAACAGAAAAGAAAGAGTCAGTTTGGGGGCACATCCAAGAGAATGAATCTCATGACACTCAGCAAGGGGATGGCCCTGGAGTCAGAAGACCCCAACTCTAGTCTTAGCTGGGTCACTAACTAGAGGCCTGACCTTCCATAGGTCCTTTAATTGAGCTGGGTTTCAAGTTTCCTCATCTATGAAATGATGGGGCTGAACAAGATGATTAGTAGCATGGTATCACGAAAAGAACACCAGATTTGGGGTCACAGGAGTGGGCTTCCAATTTCAATATGTGTGTGACCTTAGGCCAATTTCTTAACTTCTCTGGGACTCAGTTTTTTCACCTGTAAAATGTGAGGGTTAGATTAGATGACTTCTGGGATCCCTTCCAGCAAATGATTCCACAAACTTGGAATTATTATTGTATACAGGGCCTTGTAGTAGCAAAGTACCAGGGATGCAAAAATTTTGGGGGCAAAAAAAATTACAAGGTCTCTTCCCTCAAGGTCATTGAGGCAAAAAAGGCTTTGCCCCCATGGAAACTTCAGACTGGCAGAACTTAGTCTAGCCTAGAAAGATCTAATTCTAGTCCAGGACTGGGTTAATCTATATTCTCTCCCCACTACCACCTCAGGTTCTCTTATATTTGGACCAAATAGACCTGATCTGGGTTGAATACCACTTTGGACACTTGGTAAAAGTGTGAAAGTTGTTATTAAAGTCAAGTTACAACCTCTCTGACCTTCACTTTCTTCGTCTGCAAAATGGGCATAATAATAGCACTGACATTACAGGGTGGTTGTAAGGTCTAATGAGACAATGTCTATAAAGAGCTTGGGTAAAATTTTAAACACAATTTGTGAGCTACTACTCCATTATTCTCCTTAATGATATGAACCAGCACCAAAAAGATAAGCACATATTTCTAAGAGACACCACACCGACATCTACTTTCTGGATGCCACCAAAGCTGTTTCTAAGGCAGAGTCTTTACTTTGAGGGGAGGGAAAGAAAGGTCAGGCCTTAAGGGGAGAAGGACTTCAGCCCATTTGCCCAAGGTTGGTTGTGTCATAGGACATGGGGATGGAATCCTTGATCCAGAACTCTCCTTCAATCCCAACCAACCTCTCCCCACTCCACCCCCAGCTCCCAAAGCAAAGACTGCCTGGACCACACCTGGACCACTCCTTCCAGCTTTACTGTGAGAGACAACATGGCATAATTCATAGTGCAGCCAGGCATTGCTTCTATCACTTACTAGCTATGTGACCTTGAGCAAGTAACTTAAAATTCTTTGACTTTCAGTTTCCTCATCCACAAAATGCAGTAACAATGTTTGCACTACTTAGTTCACACAACTATTGTAAGAAAAATCCTTTGTAAGCTTCAAAGCCCTATAAAAATATGATTTTTTTTCTCATAGTATTCTAAGCAGTAAACATGTAAGTATCATCTTTCCAACACTTCCATATTTTAGTATCTATACAACCAGCTTACAGGTTTCTGAAAGGCAAGGATTAGAATGATAATAATTATAAAAATAAAAGCTAATATTTATATAGCACCTACTACGTGCCAGGCACTGTGCTAAACACTTTACAAATATTATCTCATTTGATCTTCACAACAACCCTGGGAGGTAGGTGCTATTATTATCCTCATTTTACAGTCGAGGAAACTGAGGCAAACAGAAGTTAAGTGAATTGCCCAGGAGCATTATATCTTTTCTTCTTATAGGTCCTCAAGATGTCTAGCACCAGGGCTGAGCTCACAGGAAGAGAACTCAAATTTTAAGGTTAGTAGGTCAGAAGATTTTTTAGTAATCTTCTAACAGATCTTTCTCATTTTATAAGATGAGAAAATTGAGGCTCAGCACAGGAAAGTGATTTGTGCCAGGTCAGAAAGCAAGTTAGTGTCCAAGGCGAAGCTCAGGTCTCCTGACCCCTGGTCAAACCCCCTTACCACCACCACATTCATGTATGAGCTTGAATCATTTTTCTAAACCTTCTAATACTCACAACAATCCTGTGAAGTAGGTGCATAAATATGTCCAATTTATAGACAAGGAAACTGAGGGATGCTCAGAGGTTTACGTCAAACCTGACTGAGCATTCAACAAATTTTTGTTGGATTAAAATGCTACTTGGTTCAAGGTCATGATGACCCCTCTTGGTCCCGACCTTTAAGGAATGGCCCTTCCAACTCTTTTGGTTCCTACTCATCCAGGCCTCGGACAACTATTGCCTTGCCCTGGTTCCAAGTTATCACTGGCTGTCCAAGTAATCTGAGGGCGGGTGGCTAGAGAAAGCAAGGGAGCCTCTCAGTACACAAAGAACAAGGGTCCCAGGCAAGCCTAGCTTCAACTACAGAATCAACAGAAGACAAGGGTCTTATTCAGCCTTTGCCAGCCCAGGATACTGCTTAATTCTCCCAAGGCCTTCTCTCATACACCCTTCATCCACCAGCTCCCTCCACGTTGCAGAACAGAGAATTAGACTGGAAACTCACTGAGAGAAAAGAATATGTCCTATTTAACTTTATTTCTGTATGTCTCCTGGAGCCTGGCTCAATAATCAATTAATCAATAAACCTGCGAGAGGCCATAGAGTATAATGAAAACGATCCTAGACTTTAGTTAAGGAAACTGGGGTTCGAATCCCACCTCAAACACTTACTGGCTGTGTGTCGGGGCCTCAAGGTCCTCATCTGAAAAATGGGGATAATCAGAGGCACTACTAGCTATTTTACCAAGCATTTCGTACACCGTAAAGTCCTATATAAAATTGAGTTATCGTTACTGCTACAAGGAATGAGCTAAGTGAGGGTGGCTAAGCTCAAACCTCCAGGAGGATCGAAAGTCTCCCAAAATTCCTGGGTTTTATGGGGATGGAGTTTGTGGCCTCCAAAACCCACACAAGCAAACAGTTATGCAAATAGTTGCTGGGGCCACGTGACTCTCGGTGGGTTTTTTTTTTCCCCCCAACCTAGCAGCCAAGAATTCTGAATAGCCTCCCCAACCCCCAAAGCCGGAGCTCCTCTCATGCTCCTTTTCAAGGGCACTTCGGCTGCCTAGGGGTGGATTCCTGATAACAGCTCTACCCAACAATCCTTAATTGCAACACTCCCCTTTCACCTCTGCACCCTAGTCCCCCAATCCCCAAACAATGGGGCTGGACTTGCTGGCCCCTGACTTCTAAGGGGATGACCTTGAACTGACTTTCCCAACGTTTCTTTCCCTCCACTCCCAGGGAGAGAGGGGCAAGGCTTCCCAACCCCCCACCCCTGCCTCTGAAAACTTAAGACTCATAAAGTTGGGAGGGGGTGTCTGCTGGAAAATAGGCCTTTGCAGCCACCTCTCCAAATCTCATCAGTTTCCTCATTTGTAATGTGACGCCCAGAGTGGTTAATTGACTCTTTTAGGGCACCCAACAGGTGAGTGGCAGATGCCAGACCGGTGGTCCACGCGTCTTCCCACGAGCTTCCCTCCGCGTAAAGGGTCTGAGAAGCGGGCTGGACGGTCCAGCAGCCCCGAGCCCCGGTGGCCAGGCCCCGCCCCCTCCTCCCGTGACCTTGAGCTCGGGCCGGCGGGCCGGCCCCGGCCAGCAGAGCGCAGCACAGCAGAGCGCAGCCCGGCACCGCGTGCGCTCACCCACCTCCAGCACCACCCGGCCGAGCGGCTGCTCCTCGGCGCCCACGTCCAGGTAGACGAGCGGGTTCTTGGCGGGGCCTCCGGCCCCGGAGTCGGAGCTGCTGGCGCTGCTGCGAGCGCCGCGGAGCCGGGCGAGCGTCGGGGCCGCGGAGGTCCGCTGCGGGGCCAGGCCCAGGGTCAGCAGGCGGGGGCCGCAGCGCAGCGCCAGCATCGCGGAACGAGGTAACCGGGAGGAACGAGGATGGAGAGCGTGCGCACGGACCAGGGCCCGCCCACTGCGTTCAGGAACGCGAAAGAAACGTCCGCCCCTTCGGCATTCGAGCTTTTAATCCCCCGCGGCCCCGCCCCGCGCGGCCCCGCCCCCGGGGCGTGGGGATACTGACTAGCCTTCCGAGGGTTACTTCCTCCAGCCTGGCCTAGGGCCGCCTGGTCTGGCTTACCCATCCAGGGCTGAGGCTGGGCACAGGACGGGAGAGGGACTTCCCCTGGGATTACCTCCTAGGTGTAGGGAACTTCCGAAGGAGCCAACTCCCTCCACCAATGCAGGTGAGCACCTTCTGTGTAACTTACAATCTTAACAGAGGTGCCTATTGTCCTGCCCAGGGTCACGCGGGCAGTATGTATCAGAGGCTGCACCTGAGCCCAGGTGTTCCCCCGAGGTGGACACTGGCTCCCTGGCTGTTCTATGAACAAGACCCTCCATCTCTCAGGACATTTTTCTGGCTGTCCCCCATGCCTGGAATAGCTCTCCACTCTGACTCCTAACCTCCCTGGCTTCCTTTAAGTACCAGTTAAAATCCTATCTTTTATTGGAAGCCTCCCTCATCCTCTCTTAGTTCTAGTTCATTCCTTCTGTGGTTTCCTGTTTATCATAAATATAGTTGTTGTTGTTCAGTCGTTTCAGGCCTGTCCGACTTTTCGTGTCCCTCTTTGGGGTTTTCTTGGCAGAGATACTAGAGTGGTTTGTCATTTCCTTCTCCAGCTCATTGTACAGATGAGGAACCTTAGGCAAACAGGTTTAAGTGACTTGCCCAGGGTCACACAGCAAGTAAGTGTTTGAGGCCAGATTCAAACTCCTCAAGATAATTTTTGCTGACTAGAGGCCCAGTATTCTATCCACTTCACCACCTAGCTGCCTGAATATAGTTTGCATCATATGTATTTGTTTGCACATTTTCTTCCCCCTTTTGTTGTAAGCTCTTTGAGGGTAAGAAATGTCTTTTTTCTCATTTTTATCCCCTGGCTTTGTTGAATTGAATTGAAATTGATTGATTGATTCCAGGTTCCAAAGACAGCTCTCCATCCACTGTGGCACACAGTAATAACAAATTGTCTTACAGATGAGAAAACTGGGGCTGGGACAGAGAAGGTGGTCTTCCAGGAACTGAGAAATCTCTTGAGGCCTGACAGGATCACCTTTCTCACCCCTTTTTGAATTGTAGGAGATAAGTGAGAAGTTTTCTCACTCTTTTTAGACAAAGGCTCTCAACTTTTGGCTAAGCCTAAACCAGGGAATAGAGTTAAATAGAGTTAAAAACAAGAATGCAGGGACAGAGACCTGTCAGGAGAGTGGAAGAGACAAAAATATATAGTGATGCAGAGAACCACGGACAGAAGGAGGAAAATAGGAACTCTTTGCTCTGTCCTTCTCGGATGTTGTTATATGTTATAGTTATCTGAGAGTATCCTTCTCTTCTTAGATTGTGAAACTCCACCCATGAGGGCAAAGATTGTCACTTAAATTTTACCATCTCCCTTAGAGCCTAGCATTCAATGAGTAAAATCAGTGTTTGTTGAGTGAATGCATGGAAGAAAGAATAAACCAGAGTTAGGAGAGAGATACAGAAACAGAAAAGAGGAACATAAATAACTAAAAAAGGCACAGAGATAATGGTATGGGGAAAGACAGAAAGAGGGAGAAAAGGGAAGTTTTGAGGTTCAGAGCTCACTCTTTTCCCAAATCTTGTGCAAATAGTTGGGCAGAGGAAAAGCAGTGTGGTATAATGAGAAGTATTCTGGGCTTAGAATCAGTAGAACCAAGTAAAGTCTTGTACTTATTAGCCATATGAGCTTGGGCAAATCATTTCAGTCCTGTAAGGCTCAGTTTCCACATCTATAAAATGGAGATGTTATTTGCGTTGTCTTCTCCTAACAAAGAGAACTTCAGCTTTGAAGCCCTTGATATTTTCTCCAGTTTTAGTATGACTGACTTATATAATCAATTATGCATATTACCACCCAAGTCATCCAGTTCAACATTGTCTCTTATCAAACCATGCAAGTAACCCAATAGCAAAAGAATTTAATTAATATGCAAAATCAGTGTAACTAATAAGGAAAAAATTAAATAATGGAGTCATTCTCTGCTACCCATATACAGCTGAGTTTAATACCTCTATCATCCAAACTATTGGATGGGGAAGAAAACCTCCTAGGGAAAATGGATGAACAGGTAAAGAAACTTTATCATTTGCTCTTTTAATAGACAGCAAGGAAATCTGCTAAGCGCTCCAAGAAGGCTAGAATTTCCCAAAGCCTCTCAGTTGTAGAGTAGTTAGTTTCTACCACTATCTTATGAGAACCAATGGGTCAAGTTCAGGGGCAAGAGAATTTCAGATCCACATGAGGGAAAACGGTTAAACATGGTGATGCCCATCTCTGGAGCAATGTTTCAGAAAGGATTCTCCTGACTTCACCAGGTCCCTAGAGGCATCCTAACAGAATGAATGGGAAGAATTCTGAACCTTAAATGAGAATGCTCTGAGTTGTTAGCAATGAGACCATGAGCAAATCTCTTCTTTTCTACTGGCCTCATCTGTAAAATGGGCATGATAATGGCACCCACCTCCTAAGCTTGTTCACAAGACCACAGATCTGGAGTGGAGAAGACCTCAGAGGCTTCTAGGCCATTCCCTTCATTTGGCAGATAAATGACTCGTCCAAGATCACATTTTTAAAATATATCCTGTGAAAATATGGCTGAAGGAACTGGGAATATTTAACAAGGAGAAAAAAAAGACCTTGTTGTTTCCAAACAGGGAGGTCATGGGGGAAAGGTGTTTGTTACACCTATTTGGGGCAGCTCCAGAGGGAAGAAGGAAGACCAGTGGGTCAGACTTAACAGAGGAAAGAATTTTAGTTTAACATAAAGAAAAACTTTCTAACAATGAACACATGTTGATGAACCATTCTCTAGTGGTCAATTAATAACCATTTATTAAGCTCCTACTGTGTGTCAAGCACTGGGGATATAAAGAAAGGTAAAAGACCATCCCTATTCTCAAGGGAGTTCACAATCTAATGAAGGAGGCATGCAAACAATTATGTACAAGCAACCTATAGACAGGATAAATTGGAAATAATCAACAGAGGAAAGTTACTAGAATTAAGGGAAGGGTGGGGCAGCTAGGTGGCACAGTGGGCTTAGAATTAGGAGGACTCATCTACCTGCATTCAAATTTAGCCTCAGACACTTACACTGTGTGACCCTGGGCAAGTCACTTAACCCTGTTGGCCTCAGTTTCCTGATGTATAAAATGAGCTAGAGGAGGAAATGGTAAACTACTTTAGTATCTTTGCCAAGGAAACCCCAAATGGGGTCCCAGAGAGTAAGACACGACTGAAATGACTGAACAACAAAATGAGAGGCAGGATTTGAACCCAGGGCCTCTGTCTACAGGGAGGCCAGTAGTTCTTTCCACAGTACCACACTGCCTCACAGTTACAAGGCTCAAATGAGATAAAATATCTAAAGCACTGTATAAATATTATCATTATTATTTTAAATTATTATTATTATTTTAAGTGCTATAGAAATGAGAGTTATTCTTATCAATGAAGTTCTTGAAGAGCTGAACCCAGTGCTCCAGATGTGGATTATGTGTTTAAGGAAATTAAACTACGGCCCAGAGGAAAGTTCCACTTGAACCTGAGTCCTGTCATAATGACTTCATGACCCTCCATCTTCATAGGAGTATCAGAAAAGAGGAAATTTGGAAGTCACTGGCAATACTCGTCGGAGGAAAGTCACCTGGAATTACTTAATGGCGAAAATATGTCAGACACTGAAAAATTGTCCTGCCTTCCTGTGATGTCAGGCATGTGACAGTGGTGACCAGGTGGCACCTTCTATTTGTAGATACCTCATTAGCCTACCAATTAGCAGCATATTTTACTCACTACCTAACTAATTACACTCATACAGTATAGGATGGAAGGCAGGGCAGTAAAACCATCACCTTATAGAAGCAGAGAATGTTAGAACAAGAAGGAACCTGAGACGTCATCCAGCCACCCGATCCTCCCATTTTATAGATGAGGAAAACTGAGGCCCAGAGGGGTGAAAACACCTAACCCAAGGTTACGCAGCTCTCTGATGTCAGACCTATAATTAGAACCCAGGTCTCCTGACTCCCCATGAGGTGCTATTTCCACTACATCATGTTGCCTGGTCACCTTAAAAAAACTTTTCCCAGCTCATAGTCACTGATACATTTGGGGGGAACTTCCTTCTTCATACATTAATTTGTTGAGTCTGACATGAGGATGGGTACTTAGTCACCAGGATGAGATGGTGGAAGAAAGAGGGTAGTGTTTGGTTGTAATATCCAAGGGAAAACCAGACTCTCAGTTGGAAAGGGCCTTAGAAACCATCTTAGAGTAACTCATAACTGAATCGACATCACCCCCACAACGTCCTAGGCAAGGGGTCACAGAGCCATTGTTTGAAGACAGTTGACTACCGGGCAGTTTGAGCTGTTTGAAGGTGTTTTCTTTTTTCTTTTTCTTTTTCTTTTTCTTTCAGGAAGGCAATTGTGCTTAAGTGACTTGCTTAGGGTCACACAGCTAGTAAGTGGCAAGTGTCTGAGGTCAGATTTGAACTCCAGGGCCAGTGCTCTATCCACTGCGCCACCTTGCTGCCCTTATGTTTTCTTATATAAAGACGGAATCTGACTCTTGGAAATTTCTCAGAACCCCAGAATTTGAAAGATGGAAGGGACCTCTGCAGGCAACTTTCTAGTCCAACCCATACCAGAAAGGAGTTTTCACTCTAGCATGCTCAACAATTGGTCATCCAGTCTCAGCCTGAAGACCTCTAAGGAGGGGGAACAGTCCCCATCCAGAGGCTACCTGTTCCATGGTGGGACAGTTCTAATGGCTAGGAAGTTTTTCTGCAAGGTCAGGCCTAAGTGGACTTCTTTGAAACTTTTATCCATCACTCCTGGTCCTTCCCCC